GCTTCTAAGATATTCGTTGCCATTCATTCCAGACTAATAATGAGCAGCATCCCAATTCAGCCTGAGTAACATGCCCATCCCGATTTCCTGCGAGATGACTTTCAAATGGCATTGAAGGCTAATTAAATGGGTGAAAAGACTGTTAAGTAGGCTTTAGCATTAAAAAAACAAGGGAATTTTTTTTTTGAAAAAAATTAAAAAAAAAAAAAGAAAAACAAGGGAATTGGACTCAGGGACAATCATTTCTTGGAAGTTAGTATTTTAGAAGACAGAAAGCATCTTACTAAAGAATTTTTGCAGGCAAATGAAATGCCAGTCAAAATTTCTGGTAAAAATTCTAATTTCTGTTCTAAGTGGTCCTCGAAATGTATTTATGTTTCCATCATACTCTGCCACCAAAGCTGCTAAAAAAATTATTTTTAAGAAAAAAGAAAAAAAAGAGGGAAAAATTAACATGCTTCAGAGAGTGGTGTACAAAAATCAGCATAGAAATGGGCTTTGTTTCCATGGTACGTACATGCCTCTTCACCACAAGCCTATAAACTTCCACCAAATGCCTCCAACTCCAAGCCAGATGATTATATTTACAATTGATATCACGAATCCATAACCCCACCATTGTGCTAGGGGAACATAGTTGGCACCATAGAAAACAGGAGCAGATCCGATGCCATAATGCGTAAGGCCACCCATTAGGTTTGATAGGAAAGCGAGCACCATGGCTCCAAAAAATGGTGGAGTGCCCAGAGCACTAGCCACGGACAAGAAGGCAGTAAACATTGCACCGATGTGAGCGGCTCCACTAGCAAAGAAGTAGTGGGAGTAGAAGTAGAGAAGAACCAGAATGCCAAATGACAGCTGCCATGAAAGACCTAATCCTCCAACAAACTGTAAAAAGAGATTGATCAGAAATGTGCTGACTATTTAGTTTGACGAACCATAACAAAGGTAAGAGAAAAATAAGACGAATCTTGACAACAGTAAGAGGAAAACAAGACGAACCTTAACAACAGTTTCACTGAACCATGAGATAAGACCGTATTTGTTGAGATAACCAGCCATAGCAATGAGTGCGGCAAACCACATTAGAGTATCCCAAGCAACTGCTTCAGATAAACACTCCTTCCATGTAACAACACCAGTTATGAGGAGGATGGCTAACCCAAGAATAGCAGCAGTAACAGCATCTATATTCAGCATTCCACCAAAAACCCAGAGTCCCACCTGACACAACAGAAAACAAGGCACGAGAGACACTATTACTGTTATATTATATGTGTGGACATGCTCATATGTAGAGACTTTCACAAAGTTTTGCAGATACAACTAGTGTCACACACTACTCACAATCAACAAAAGCACATCTAACACTATTAGATCAATTGCCCAGTGATGTGATCTAAGGTGATACGAGTCATATGGAAGGAAAGAACATGACAGAACCACCAAATACTTCAAGCTACATTTTTTAGTTGAAGCAATCAACATGATCAATGATCAATGCCAAAATGGGCCTGATTCGTATTTAGATATATAACTGTTTCTCAGAAACCAAGTGCAATAAGACTAAAAATGAGCTTAGCCTTTTGACATTTCAGATAACAAGGACATTACATGCTACTCAGTAAATGCGAAAAAGCTACTGTTAAGCGTGGGGGGAAATATAAAACTCAAGCTAGAAACCTCTTTCTCTGCGCTGCTGCTTCTTAGCAATCTTCAGCAAAACCCAATTCAGTAGAGAGTTGGCCACTTACAAGAACCTCTAGGAACAAGAATTTTGGTTGCGAAAACAAGAGCAACAAATTAGATTAGAATACAAGATACCCTCTGAGCAATATTTCACTTTGCAGTGCATTCAGCGAAATATGAATCAAGAAACAATTTTAATTCATAGTGATAAATTAAAAGGAAAAACCACAACCACAAATCATTGGATAACGCAAGCATTAACAAGTAGAGTCGGAGTATTAAGTTGTATACCGTGAGAAGCAGAGTTGCGGCCATGATAATCTCATTCTTGCTCATTGGCCCCATCTTCTCCAGTTTTTCCCTTGCAAGCTTGGGTGCGTCCGGGCTAGTCTTCACCGTGGGAGGATAAATCAAATATAGCAGCAACGGGACCACAGCCAGTGACACTAAACCTGGCACGATAGCGGCCGTAGCCCAATCCGTCCATCCAATTGTCTGCTTTATGGTATTCAACGTCAAGTTGGCACTCAAGGGATTCGCCGCCATCGCCGTCAAGAACATGGCGGACGAAATGACGGACGTCTGGAAACACGTCAGCATCAGCCAGGATCCCAGTTTGTTCTCTGTTCCATCCCCTACGTTGCTGCCGCAGGCGGCGCAGAGTGATTTGACTAAAGGCAAAAAGATCCCTCCAGCTCTGGCGGACACGGAAGGAATTGCAGGCGCCAACAGTGCCTCGCTGAAAACCAGACTATATCCCAATCCTAAAGAAGAAGAACCAAACCCGGAAACAAATTGGTAAGCAATGCGATTACCGAGCCCGGTCTTGATGAATCCACGAGCAAAGAAGAAGGCAAGCGCAATGAGCCATGGGATGGGATCGCCGAAAGCAGAGAAAGCGGCAGAGAACGTGAGGGTTTTAGTGAGAACAGAGGCGCCGAGTCCCATCAAGGCCACGGCACCCAGAGGCAACGGCTGGGTAATGATGCCGACAATAGTGGCAAGGAAAATAGCAAGCAGTTGCCAAGCATTGCGGGAGACACCGGATGGAACAGGGACGAACCACAGGATTACTCCAGTAGCTATCGATGCGATTAAAGGCTTCATAGCCGCACCTTGCCATGGCTGTTGTGACGCAGGGGTCACTGACGCCGGTGTTGATGCAGCCTTTACTGTTAACCTCTGGTGCTTCTGGAATCCAACGCTGCGGATAGACGTCAGTGGACTAAACCAGTTGCAGCCGGAGAATGTGGTTTTCAGGGGAAACGGAAGCGAGACGGCTGATTCCGGTGCCGACCTGAGCTGGGACCGCACCGGCGTGGGCTTGGAAACCCGAGACTTAACTCGGGAGAATCCGAGGGAGCAGGAGGAAGTGAATGCGAGGGACGCCATTTCTCCCGTACGGCGTCAGCCCTGATAAGGAAATCGGAAAACCGAAACTTCATCGTCGAAAGGTAGTGGTTTGATTTATAGAGAGGAGAGGGGATCTAAGCCGTCGTATCTTGATCGGACGGTGGATTCGGAGTTCAGAATATACGGTTGGTTTTGGAGATCAGACTAAAAGTGAGCTTCGTGTTGTGGGTGTCGTCTGTTTGGATATCAAACCGTTGAAATTTCCGTTGGTGGAGATTTGGATAATTTACGTCCTTCCACGTGGTGGATTTTTAGCGGACTGCACTCCAGCTTTTCGGAAATGTGGAAGTGGAGTTGGAAGTCCACGTGGCAAGTTCCGAGTGGATATGATTCTTGAGGCATTTCTGATAGTGGCCCAATGAAAGTGGGAGATTGGAGGCCAGAAATGCACGTGCAGTACGGTTGAAGTCGTGCTGGACTGTGGAGACTACGGCCCATAGAAATTTGGACTGGACCTCCAGTTTAGAAATTTTGGGCCGTCACAATCCTTTTATTTATTTATTTTGTCTGTTTACAAAATTGGAAGAATTTTCTTGGAAACAAACCAAGACCAGAAAAGACAAAACCCCTTTGTTACGGACAGAAATCTCCGTCGTACGGCGGCAGCGATGATGTCCTCCTCCTCCTCCTCCTGGTCCGATCCCCCGGAGGACCTCTTAAACCACATAGCCAAGCGCCTCGATGCGGAAATCGACGTTCTCCGCTTCCGTGCTGTCTGTTCCTCTTGGCGCTCCTCCTTTCCTCGGCCAAATTACCCTAACCGTCCTCTGCCTCTCAAACTGCCCTTCCCGATAGCCCCCTCCAACCGCTTCCGGCCTAATCCACGCGGCTTCTATGCTCTCTATGAGGACACTGTTTACCTACTTCAGTTGCCCGACAACGAAGAGGTAAATGCTTGTACTTCTTCACCTCAGCAAGACCGTCGCCGTCAGGGCTGGTTGGTTAGGGTTCGAGAAGAATTTCCGGGTAGATTTCATGTTTTCAGTCCTATTTTGAAGCGCCGCGTAGATTATTTTCCAGAAACTTTTCCTAGAAACTTGAACGTGCTGAATTTTAGGGTCACCGAAGTGTGTAAACTGCATAATCTTCGTTTTGTTTCTTCCTCTTTGCCGAACGATAATGTTGGTATCTATCGCCGAGAATTCCGGGTGGTACTGTTAGGCAATTCTATTTCAACTGGTCCCGCGGTTTTTGCAATTTATGGCCGTCGTGAAGGTGATTTGTGTTTTATGAGACTAGGAGATGAGAAATGGACTGTTGTTCGACATGTTGGAGATGTTTTCTATTGTGATATTGCAATTCGAGATGATCAGTTCTATGCTGTCGACAATGTGGGAATGTTGTGTGTTTTTGATTCTTCATTTCAGAAGATAGCAACTATTCCATCTCCTTCAGTTGATGGGGCAGAACGTCGTATTTTCAATTTGGTTGAATCATTTGGCGATATCTTGTTAGTAGTCTTTCGAAATGTGGATTCCTTCAGAGACTTAATTGATTATGATCAGAGAGCCAGAGGTTTCACAAAACATGGTTCTTCTCATGTCATGGTTCAGATAGAGGTTTACAAGTTAAATGAAAAGGAGGGTAATTGGTCTGAGGTGAGGGATTTGGGGGATAGAGTATTGTTTGTGAGTAATGATGGCTGCTGGTCTGTTTCAGCTCATGATTTTGCTGGATGCAAAGGGAACTGCATTTATTTTCATGCATTTTGGAATGTTCAAACTGCTAATCGTGACAACAGGCTTCGAGGACTTGACTACGGAGAGATAGGAGTCTTCAACTTAGAGGATGGAACTGGGGGACCATTGGCATCTTACCCTGGTTATTCAGATATGTTTTGGCCACCTCCAACTTGGTTGAATTCAAACACAAGTTAGTATGGATACTCAAAGTAAGTAGAAAATTATATATATATAT